AATAGCTGCAATAGCGCAGCCTCCTATTAGACACCAGAGAATCCACACGGACAAGTGGCGTCCTCCAAGCACCTCCACCTCTCCTCAGCCTAAAGCCCTGGACGGTAGCCCGGGGGTCCCTGTTCGCTTCCCCGTGGCCGCAGGGCCAGGCTGCGGCGTGGGCACAGCCGGGCAGTGCCCGGGAGCCCACCTCCTCCCCCAACACCCCGGGGGGTCCCGTGGGGCGGCTGCCCCCTAACGCAGCTTTCACTGGGGCTGGGCTTGGGGGGCTGGAGAAACCGCTGCTGTGCTGGCGAGAGCCCTCACATCGGGAACCCTCATCAGGCTGGCGGTGAGGCTGCGGCACCGAAACAGTTCCTATGACAACCCCAAATCCCAGACCTGTTTATCCCCTTTAATAAAAATCCACAATAACTGTGAAACCGGGGAATAAGATTCAATAAGTAAGACGCGAAATAAATCAGAGACAGCATAAAGCATGTCACCGTTTTACTTCGGCCTCGTTCCTTGCTTTCCAAGGAAAAGCCTGAGGAACGGGGAGCTGCGAAGGGGCGAGCGGGTGGGTTTGGAGCTGGTGTGAGCAGGGTCCAGCTGCGCAGCATCCCAGGGCTTTTCCCTCCAGTTCCCTCTCCTGGCAGCAGTGCAGCCCGGGGCAGTCAGCGGCCGCAGGCGAGACCCACGTGGCATTTTTGGGGGACATTCAAAGTGTCCCTGAGCCCCTCTGGCCCTTTCCACCCCCCTCAAAGCACCCTGGCTGTTCCTCCAGCTCCTCGTGCTGCTCCCCATCAGTGTCCTGGCACGGCATCCCCATGGCATCGCCTGGTCCCCATGGCATCACAGGGTCCCCATAACATCATGGGGTCCCCGTGGCATCACCGGGTGCTTGTGGCATCGTGGCGGCCCTGGGGGGGCCCCGTGGCATCGGATGCTCTTGGACCTGTGGCTGTTTGGCTAATGCTGATGTGCCAAGGGACCAGCCTGTCTCTCCCCGTGGATGGGCTTGTGGCCACCACGGTCTCACAGTGGCAAGGACAAGGATGGGGACGGGGATGGGGACAGAGCAGGAGCACAAGGGCATCTTGGACAGAGACAGCCACAACCAGGGCCTTGGCTGGAGCCGCTGCCCTGTCAGCCGCTGGAGGGGACAAGCTGGGGCAATGCTGGCTCCCGGGAGACACGACGGCCCCTGAGCTCCCATCCCTGGGAGAGGCACTGCCAGAGCGGGGGGGGGGCTCCGCTTCTCACCGCGGAGCTGGAGCATCCTGGGGCAGGGCGCCAGGCCTTTATCCCCGTCTCTCCCCTTTTCTCCTTGCTCAGCCCTGGCTCCAGCACAAGCTCAGCTTTGTCCCGCTCCCCCACGAGCGCTGCCAGCCCTCTCCTGTCCCCCAGGACACGAGGGAGATGCCCACGTTCCCCTGCTTCAGCCAGCCCCGTGCGCTAGCTGGGACCATGCTCTTCCTCGGTGTTAATTAAATCATTGCTCCCCCTCCCCTCGCTGCCAGGGCCAGCCTCATCCGACAGTCACGCTCTCCAAACTAATTGCTCTCTGTTATTCCATGTTTTCCATTGGAGGCTCATGCTCCCTGCTGGCTCCTGGCACAGCCCGCACCTCCCACGTTGGCTCCCTGGCATGGCACGGCATGGCACAGCACGGCACGGCACGGCACGGCACGGCACAGCACGGCACGGCACGGCACACCCCACCGCCCTGGCCGGCCCTGCCAGCCCTCTCGCCTTGGCACCTCCAGGAGCCATTTCCCACCTCCCGGGGCTGGGAGCGGAGCCGATGCTGGGGCAGCCC